CCGCCGCGATGCGCGCGCGGACCTCGTCGGCGTGCGACCGCGGCGCGGGGCCGTAGAACACGTCCCGCGGCGGCGACGGCGGGGGCGTCGGCGCCTCGGCCCGCGCCGCCGCCGCGGCCTGGATCTTCTTGCATACCTTCCGGTGGCCCCGGTCGCGCCAGTCGATGCGTTGGCAGTCCGTCGAACAGTAGGCCGTGGTGCCGCACCCTTTACAGCGCCGGGCATCCTTCTTCCCGCAAATCGTGCATATGTTGAGCGCCAGCTTTGTACGAGTTTTTCGCGCCTCGTACTCTCGCTTCTTCTTGATCAGTTCCGGGTCCATGATCTCTTCCCACGCTCGTCGCCGACGCTCCTATTCACCCACCTCACTCGTCTATCGTCACCTCGCAACAGGTAAAATCGCTCAAAATCTCACACAGGGCTAAGCCGACCCCTAGAGCATCGCGCTCATGTCGTTCTCCATGCCCCCCTCGGCGGCGGCGTCGTCCTTGCGCCAGACGGGCTTCGCGCTCAAGAACGCGAGGCACCAGACCGCGAAGGTCGGCGCAGAGAGGAACGCGGCGGCGACGACGCCAAGGCCAAGCACGACTCGCCCGCGCGCAAGCGCAGCATCTCGGGCTCGGGCGACGACGCGGCGTAAAGATGGTTTAGGCAATATCTCGCGCGTCGTCGAGGTCCGCGAGACACGCTATAGCATCCTCGTCGCCCTTGGCAGCGGCGCGCTCGAACCAGTACCTGGCTTTGCCGAGGTCGACTTCCGTGCCTTCTCCGCGCCCGTAACAACAGCCAAGGGAAGTCTCCGCCATAGAAAAGCCTTGATCCGCCGCGAGGGTGTAGTACCGGAACGCTTCTTCAAGTTTCTTCTCAGAGTAAAGTAAAAACCCTAACTTTGTTTGCGCGATCGTGTCGCCTCGATCTGCGGCCATGCGATACAGCCGCTCCGCCTTCTTCTTGTCCAGCTTGACGCCACTTCCAGTGTTGTGCAATCCCGCAAGGTATCTCATCGCGTCCACGTTTCCGAGCTCCACGGCGCGCCGGTAAATCTTCGCGGCTTTCTTATCGGATTTCACGAGGCCCAACCGACCATGGCGGTACGCGTCTCCCAAAGACGTAATCGCTTCCGGCACCTCGTTCTCCGCATGGCGGCGAAGACGCGAGAGCTGTTCCGCGGGATCATCTGGGCACGGTAAACGACAGAGGGGACACGCGCCGAGTCTGATCTTGTGCTCGCACGATCGGCAGACCTTTCGGCAGCAGCAGGTGCGAAACACGTTCGTCGCATTCACGTCCCACTCCTCGAGGCAGATCGGGCACCGCGACCCGTGCCGCGCAGACAGCGGCTCCCGCTCAGGGTTCGCCTCGCGTCGCACGCGGGCGGCCTCGTGCTCCGCCGCGATGCGCGCGCGGATCTCGTCGGCGTGCGACCGCGGCGCGGGGCCGTAGAACACCTCCCGCGGCGGCGACGGCGGGGGCGTCGGCGCCTCGGCCCGCGCCGCCGCCGCGGCCTGGATCTTCTTGCATACCTTCTGGTGGCCCCGGTCGCACCAGTCGATGCGTTGGCAGTCCGTCGAACAGTAGGCCGTCGTGCCGCACCCTTTACAGCGCCGGGCATCCTTCTTCCCGCAAATCGTGCATATGTTGAGCGCCAGCTTTGTACGAGTTTTTCGCGCCTCGTACTCTCGCTTCTTCTTGATCAGTTCCGGGTCCATGATCTCTTCCACGCTCGTCGCCTCACTCGTCTTACACTCACTCGCACTCGCAACAGGCAAAATCGCTCGACGACGGCGGCAGTAGCGGAGACGACGGCGACGAGATGCGCTTTCTCGTGTGGCTTATCCAGGGGGGTTGCGCTTTCTCGGTGACGTGGGTGGCGATGTGGCGTCGGCGACGGCCTCTTCGGAGGAGCTGCGCTGGGTCACATGGCCGCTGGCTTAGGCGTGGTATGGGGCACTAGGCCGATCCTCCCGATCGTGCTCCTCGCTCCACTACCCTAGCCCTTCCCTTTGGTCCTCCCTCCCTTCGATTCCTCCCTGCGACGCGGCTAAGCAAAATCGCTCAAAATCTTACACAGGGCTAAGCCGACCCCTAGAGCATCGCGTTCATGTCGTTCTCCATCCCCCCATCAACACCATCGTCGTCCTTGCGAAATCCGCTCTTGGCGTTGAGGAACGCGAGGCACCAGACCGCGAAGGTCGGCGCGGAGAGGAACGCCGCGAAGGCGAGCGGCTTCGTGTGGACCGTGTCGTAGCCGCCGACGAAGGCGCCGACGAAGGCCGACACGACGAAGGCGTGGAGGAGCCAGATGGAGAGCAGGTCGTGGGCCGGCGCGAGGTGGAGCTTCTTCGCGCAGCGCGCGTAGAGGTACGCGTACGCCGCGCAGTAGCAGGCCGTGCAGCATGCGAGCGCGCCGTCCGTCGCCGCGTAGACGTGGTGGTGGCCCGGGTCGTCGTACTGGGGGTCCCCCGCGCCCTCGAGGCGGCCGAACAAGGCCCGCGTCGCGCCGAGGACGCCCCACGTCGCGCAGAGGAGCACCGCGCCGACGCCGAGCTTGAGCGTGACGCGGCGCCGCGCGCGGACGGGCTCGTTGAGCGCCTGGGCAGGACAAGAGAGATTCAACGTCGCTTCAACGTGAGTGTTCCGCGCGCGCGCCCCGGAAAAAGCACCCACGCTTCGAGACCGTTCCAAGAGATGATCGCTCGCCCAAAATCAGCCAAAACGAGTGGAAAACGGCCGAGATATGAGGCTTTGAAGTTGGGAATTTCGCTCTCTTGTCCTGCCCCGTTGAGCGCGTGGGCGAAGAGGAGCGCGTAGCAA